ATAAGTATTGCTACCCCTGCTTGTTTTTCAATTCCATTTGCCTGATATTTTTCCAACCTTCACTGTCAGTCTTTGTGAGTCCCTTGTTCTGAGGTGAGTCTCCTGTAGACATCATATATATGGGTCATTCACTCACTCGATATCTTTTGATTGGAGCATTTAATCCATTTACATTTAATGTTATTATTGATAGATACTTGTTTGAAGCCTTTTCTGTACTTTATTCCTGTGCTCCTTCTATTTCTTCTTTTTACAGCATTCTCTTTAGCATTTCTTGCAGCACTGGGCTAGTAGTGATAAACTCCCTTAGCCTTTTATTGTCTGTGAGACTCCTTATTTCACCTTCAATTTTGATTGATACTCTTGCTGGATAGAGTAGTCTTTGATTCAGACCTTTGCTTTGCATCACTTTGTATACTTTATTCCATTCCCTTCTAGCTTGATGTGTTTCTGTTGAGAAATCATTTGATAATCTGATGGGGGATTCTTTGTAACTCTTCGTCTCCCTCTTGCAGTCTTTAAGATTCTCCCTTTGTTGTTAACATTTGCTATTGTACTTATGATGTATCTTGGTATGGGTCTTTTGGGATTCATTTTGCTTGGGACTCTCTGAACTTGTGTAACTTTTTTCTTCCCATATCAGGTAAGTTTTCTGTCATTAGTTCTTCAAATAGATTCTCTAAACTTTGCTGCTCTTCTTGTCCTCTGGTACTCTTATTATATGTATGTTACTTCATTTTGAATTGTCCCAAAGCCCCCTTAGGCTCTCTTCCTGCTTTTTAATTTTTTTTCTTCAGTTTCTGTTCAGATTGGGCTTCTCTACCTTATCTTCTTCTAGTCCTCTGCTTCTTCTAGTCTACTGTTGAAACCTTCCATAGCATTTTTTTATTACTGCTATATCACTTTTTATTTCTTCCTGATTTTTGCATAGGTTATTGATTTTTCTCATCTATCCGGTATATGAACTGTATGACTGTTACTCTGAATTCTTTTTCTGTCATGTTGCATGCCTCAGTTTTACATTTACTCTTAAGTGTCCTTAGTTTAGGGAAGATAGAATTTACTAGATGGCTCCAAATTGGTGTTTTGTTGTTTTTTTGTTTTGTTTTGTTTTTTCAACTTTCCTATTCTATTTATTCTGGCTTACTAGCCTGTGTCATTTACTTAACTTCCTTTCAATATTTTTCTTTACAAACATTTTACATCTTTCACAATTTTTTTCTTTAGAAATCTTACAACTTTCATTAATAACCAGCTTTAGAAACCATTTTATTTCTCCTTCAAAATGCATTTTCATATCTCATGCTTTCTCTATTATATCAAAACCATAATTTCTTTTCATAATTTTTAAAATTTGAACCTTTATGAACCTTAATTTTTAGGTGACATGTAATTAATATTTCTCAGATTAGCATCACACTCACATTTTAAGAGATATTTCAAATAAAATATGAGATTTATTAATTGATTCAAATCCATCTTCTATATTGTCCCTAAGAGGCAAACACAAATTAATGTTTCAGTATCCTGTTACTTCAAAATATTTAGATGTTTATTATTTAACCCAGCAATGCCTTTAAGTTATCAAAGACTCTGGAAAATTATGTATAAGCCTATGAGGCTGGAGAAAAAAGGCGGGGGTGGAGGGGAGAGAAGAGGGAGAGGCCCCACAATCTATTCCCAGACCTCTGGCTCTTGGATTCAAAACTGCTACATTTTTCCTTAGAGATAACATGCTAAAGTTTGGGGTGATACTGCTGTGGCTTCTGTTTCAGCCTTTCCCCTGGTCACTGGTTCTATAGTTGTGAACATTATGTTAGCTTTCTGTTTCTGCCTTTCTTATCGTTATTTACATAAACCTTCTGAGCCTTTTTTTTTTTTTTTTTTTTTTTTTTTTAACAATCAGTGCATGCCCCAGGACATTTTGGCATGCACTGATTGGTGGCTCAATGTCTTGGGAATGTCTCTGTGACAGATGCCAGTAATGTCCACCAGTTGGGAGGAGGGAGAACCTTATAGACTTTAAGTTTCAGAGTTTGCAAGACCACCATGCAGGCCTTCCCTAAGCTTGTCAACACTACCTTGTGCCTCATTGTTTTCAACTATAAAATGGGAGAATTACCGTGTTTCCCCGAAAATAAGACATCCTCCGAAAATAAGACCTACTTACAGATTTCCTTCTGAGTGGAATATAAGGCAACCCCCTAAAATAACCCCCCCCCCCCCCCCCGCCCCAGGCTAAACATGAGAGATTTGGTCCACTGATTCTGAAAGAAATGGAGTCACAAGAAATTCACCAGGGAAATTCAGGAATTGGATTGTTATGATGATGTTCCAGAAGATGATGACATGATTGTCATTGAATAAATGAGTCAATTCTTGATACTGTAGGATTCACAGTTTGTCTGGTTTGTGTTGACAACTACCGTACTACCGTACCATATACAGGAAATAAATTTCCTTTATTTTCATTTAACAATAATGTGTACCATATTCTTCATGGAAAAATAAGACATCCCCTGAAAATAAGACCTAGCACATCTTTGGGAGCAAAAATATTAGACACTGTCTTATTTTCAGGGAAACAGGGTAATTGATTATAGGATTAATGAGAATGAAGAGAGCTGAGCCCTTTAGAACACTGATTGGCACTCAGGAAGTGCTCCATCAGTGTTAGTGATTGCCATCTAGGAGACAAGAGATCTGGAAAGGGATTTGTTTAGCCTTGGTCCCCAGCACAATGCCTTACACCCAGAGCGCACTATAGCAGACTTTGCAGAACTCCCTGAAAGCCACCCACCTCCCCATATCCTTCGCTGCTGAGCCTATCCACACCAGCCACCAGATCACCAAAGGCCCTTTGTTGTCTTCTGCAGGCAGAGAAGTGGAGACTTCAACATCTGGGCTGACTGCCACCTGCTAAACAGCATCCTTGGGCAAGGTGCTTTCTCAATGTTTCCAAGTTTTTGTTTTCTCATTTGTATAAACGAAAATACTAAAACCCATCTGCTAGGATTGTTGTTGGGATTATGTTGAAAAGGAAAATTGGGAGGCTTGCCAGATAGTTAAAACTTCTCCACTGACTTGGGCAGAGCTGCAGAGCCTGACCCAGGGCCCACCATAGCTGACTTGGGCGGAGCTGTGGAGCATGCCACCAAGACTGACTTGGGAGGAGCTGTGGGGACCCTCAGGGGCCACCACTGGAGGAGATATATGGGTCAGAGTCTCTCCAGGAGTTCAGTCCAGGCATTGGATCCGGAATTCCCTAGTCTGGCAGATTTTCTAAATAAAGGTTAAACCCTCCCTCAGAGTGCTGGCTGCTTACTATCCCATGTATTCTGCCACAACAATGTGCCCGACACCCCGCTGGCCCTTCCTCAAGTGGACAGATTTGTGCAGATCTGCCCCTCCCTCTCACCCTTGCCCTGTCTATCACCACAAAAGATGGTCTAAAATTAAAACTTAGATCTTTACTGAGCCTATTGTCTTTTTGCACCTAAAATAACATTCCTAAAAAATAAATAAAATAAAATAACATACCTGTGGACTGTTAGGGTAACCTGTAATTTCCCTTTTTCCAGCCCCCTCAAGGATAACCAAGGTACCAGGGCGGAGACCACATCATGGTAATAGTTGACTATTACCTTATCCTGCCCCCACCTGTGTAAAAGAAGCCTGTGTCTATTTTACTTTATATCCAATCCCAGAGGTACCCCACCCCCTTTACTTCTGTCACCAAAGGATTTCATGTAATCCACTTACTTCTCCTCTCCTTTGATTAATGTATAAAACAAAGTGAAAAACCACCATTCTCTGGACATCATCCTAATTCATTGAGATTATGCTTTCTGGCAATTGAGAACAGGCTGGCTCAAATAAACTCACAAAAATTCTTTACAGGATTGAATGTTTCTTAGGATAAAAAGAGAAAGCTGTAGAACTAGGAAGGTAGGGGATAAGGATGTTGGAAACTGATATTCAGAGGGACAAAGACATGGACACAGCAGCAGGTTCGGAAGAGCAGGGAGGAAGTAGGAACCCGGAGTAGATGATACACATAGTACAGTAAAGGGAGAAAGTGTGATGTATGAGTTAGGAGTCTTGTATGTCTGCCCAGATGAGGTAAACATGTCCAGATAGAGTACTAAAAGTCTCACAAGCAACAGGAAAATGCAGCTCCTGAGTAGTCTTTAATAGTGTAGCATACTTGTCACTGTCTCTTGAAATAGGACCCCTAGCATCCTATCAATAAATCTTAGCTGATAGTAATTGAATGAAGCTAAGAACAAGGCACTGTGCCAATGAATTGAAATACTGGTAGTATTTATATACTCTGCTACCATTAAACAGGCAAGCAATGGTGAGTAAATTTGCTTAGTATTATATTGTACTTTGCATATCTGATTGGAGAAGGATACTTTGTGTGACCCAATGTTTGTAAAATAGGGAAATAATGATTATAATATTTATCCAAATGACATAGCATTCGTTTTAACTTTAATATACTATGTGATTAAAGTAAACTAAATGTGTACTGGTTTTCATAAAGTAATCTTTAAAATTATTACAGTGAACAGCTTAATAAGTACTTGCCAAAACAGCCTGCTATGAGTTAAGATGTCTACCTAGCATTAAAATATTGACAATATATTTCAATAGTAATTGTTTTGGGCTATTTAGTATTTTGGAGACATAATTGAATAAATATATTCTCCCACAGTGTGCTGAAAGGACCAATTTAGTTACACATTTTAAATCAAAGACTTCTCCAAATGTAGCTTAATTTTTATTATTTATAAATATTCTTAACTAATAGACAAGTTTAAAACATCCTATATAATAAAAGGCTAATATGCAAATTGTCCCCTCAAGAGTTCAACCCACCAGGAGTTCCACCACTCGCTATGACATAATCATGTGTGCTGACCACCAGGGGGTGGCCAGCAGCCAGAGGAAGGAAGGCTCTAATTGGCCCTGATCGCAGGCCAGGTCCAGGGACCCTACCCATGTATGAATTTCATGCATGGGGCCTCTAGTAGTAATATAATATATAAAACTGTATATGTTTAAAATACTTCTTATGTGATAAATTTTAGTTGATTAAATTAGTTTTGTAAATATAATAAATATAATTCAGTATAGTTAACTCACTATTATCTGCTTAATGCAAATGTTACTACAAAAGAAGCAAAAAAAAAAAAGAGTGATATTGTACAGACAAGTTTAGGGTTTGTTTTCTCATACATAAGATATTTCCTTGAATTCAGAGTCAAAGGTCTCTTTCCTGGGGTACATGTATTTTTTCTTTGTATTTGGTATTTCCTGTTATATACAAAAAGGAATTGGATAGAACTTGGTAACAGCTAGATCTCCACATTAACATTTGTTTCACAAGCCATGAATAATGACAGCAGTCCTTTGCGTACATTAAGAAGCTCCTCTTCTTGCTATGGCCAAGAAAAAGAAGATTATGCTATTATTAGGGATTCATTTTAAAACAATCCTTTCCATAAAGCTATAATGAATGCACTCATTCTATCTGCTCCCCCAGCATCTAGTCTTAGATATCTACAGCACTCGGAGATCATCACTGATCACCAATTGAGAGAAGACTTTCAGTGTTTTCAGTCCCAAATCAATTAAATTTATATTTAATATTTAAAGAAAGAAAATAAATTAAGTATAGGCTAGGAAACAATTTCAAAAAGGATCAATCTAGTTAGTTAGCTTGTCTGCTTCAAGCTCAACATCCTGATCTTCAACTATTTCAGCATGTTTAGCTTCTATTAAAACTTATTAAATACATTATTACTAGTATGTCCTATGTAAAAGGATTACTACTAAAGTATACAAAAACATGTCTATTCTCTTTGAGAAAAAAACCGGACACATTCACTTGGAGGAGTGCCTTTAGACCCCACACAACTGTACTTTCCCCCCAGAACCAGCCCTGGTCTACTAGACCCGTAAGAAGTCACTTAATTTTATTCCCAAATCTATGTAGATAAAGTCTTATTGTCCAAGTGGACAATAATTTTGGGGGGGTTTCCTGACACCCCTTCTCCTTGAGAAGGCAGAGTTCTATTACTTTGCATAGGGCTTAGACTCATTCTTCTAGAGAACTGTTCAAGTGGCAAACTGATAGTCTTTTTTTTTCCTTTAGGAGGGTCTCTATTTATTCATTATTTATTAATTTATTTTAAAAATATATTTTTTTATTGATTTTAGAGAGGGAGAGGGAAAACATCAATGATGAGATGAATTGAGCCCCCAACCCAGGTGAGTGCCCTGATGGGAAATCGAACTGTGACCTCCTAGTTCATGGGTCAAGCTCATCCACTGGGCCACATTGGCAGGGCAGGAGGGTCTCTTTTACATCACCTCTATTATTTTACTATAAATATGCTCCCATTATTCTAATTTAAATACCAAAGTCAACTAAGTTAAAACTGCCTTTTCTCAATCTAAAAAGAAGAAAACCTGTGAAGTAATTTCCCGTTAAAAGAAATAAAGGCATATTTATTCCATTTGAAGAACCCATGCCAGATAATTGATTTACCATTTTCTTAAGAAGCTTGTCTTGCAGAATTTTCATGTTTTCTTTCATGAAACACATCTGTAAAATCAACAAACATATTTGCCCCATGAACTTTACTATAAAATTTTCACAGCACAAAGATAGACTAACCAATACTAAAATTATGTAAAAAATATGAAATTGATACCTCAGATGTACAAATAGTTTCTTCTCGATCCGTACCATAGAAGACATTTTTGTCCAAGGAAGCTTTCAAAATGTGAATCCTAACAAGTAAAATAATGACAAGTACAAAGGTATTTATCAGGAAGTCAAATTAAATCACTATAGTATAGTATATAAATTAAACATTATAATTAATATGAACTAATTTTATAGATTATAATAATAAAAAGTGTCATACTAACCTCTCTTGTTCACTTTTTTTATAGACACTGAACTTCTGAACCATCTTTTCTCCAAAGTCCTTAAATTTTAATACAAAAATTAGTTATGCTTTAATAGTATTAAATATTCGAAATTGACAGTAGAATTTACTATATTTCTATTTCTAATTTAAGTAAACAAGCTGGCTACATGCTAAAAACATTCCAGATGTCATAACTCTTTCTAGAAAAAAAAAATACTGAAAGTAAAATCTCTCTTGATTTTTTCCTCATCATAAATTGAAAGTCTGTAATTTAAGTAGTTTATAAGAAACTGACTAAAAATATTTATGATGGCTCTAAAAGCAGGACACTAGAAGTTTTCCTGAATATAGCTCTTTAAAAATGAGGTTTTATAATTATTTCTACATTCTTAAAACACAAACCTCAAATTCCTTCTCCAAATCTTTTAAGGTCTGTGAATCTTTTTCAAAATTCTCCAACTCTTTTATGATGTTGAACTGGAATTTATCAAGTTTTTTTATCCTATTAAGGAAATAAAATAAGATTATTTTTAAAAACTATACCACTCAGAACATACAGCGTTCAGAAAAGATTTTATTACATACCTGTATTCCTGAATATGATGGTTCATTATTTTCAGATGTTGTTGAGCTGTTTTCCAAGACTGCATAGTAAAATTATCCATCAACTTGTGGTGACTCTGAAAAATATTTATTCTTAACAAAATAAACAAAGAACAAAGCTTTTTCCACAAAATGTAAATGTCTAAGAACTTAGAAAAGTGAAAAGTTAACAACACAGTGATCGAGCCGAAAGTGTTAATGAAAAGTAAGTTCAGGCAGAACAGTGTCTGTTTCCATCAGAAAGGTTTTTTTGTTTTGTTTCGTTTTTTTGTGTGTGTGTGTGTTTTTTTTTTAAATATATTTTATTGATTTCTTACAAGAGGAAGAGAGAGAGATAGAGAGCTAGAAACATCGGCTGGCTGCCTCTTGCACACCCCCTACCGGGGATGTGCCCGCAACCGATATACATGCCCTTAACCAGAATTGTACCTGGGACCTTTCAGTCCGCAGACCCACACTCTACCACTGAGCCAAACTGGTTTTGGCAGCATCAGAAAGGTTTTGACTAAAGTCTGAACTGGCAACTACTCATTTTCATAAGGACACCACACTCTACAATTTTTTTTTTAAAAAATGCTAGTGATTACAATTCTCTTCAGAAACTCAGCCTCAAAGTCAGAGTCAGATTTATTACCATTTTTTCACAAAAACATATTCACATCTAGCCACAGATGTATAGTACAGGGTGTGGCAAAAGTATGGTTACAGTTGTGCATACGGATAATAAACTGTTTTTTGAGTGCTCACAACTGTAAACTTACTTTTGCCCCATCCTATATATAAGTCAGGTCTTCTCTATTTAGTTTAGGTCAACCTCAGATAAATCAACATGACCACACTGGAGCCTCAATAACATGTAATAAAGAGACAATATGTAAATTGACTATCACTCCAAACACACAAGATGGCCACCCCCATGTAGTCATATATGGCTGCCCTCATCTGGGCACAAGACAGCCACCATAAGGTGGCAACTGGGAAAGGAAATTGTGGGAAATTAGGCCTGCAAGGGAGGGCAGTTAGGGATGACCAGGCCAATAGAGGAGGGCAGCTTCAGGGAACCAGACCTGATAGGGAGGGTAGTTGAGGGGGATCAGGCCTGCAGGGGAGGGCAGTTAGGAGCAATCAGGCCAGCAGAGGAGCATCAGGCATCAGGCAGACAAACGAGCGGTTGGAAGCCAGCAGTCCTGGATTGTGAGAGGACACTTGGACATCCCTAGAGGGGTCTCGATTGGAGAGGGTGTGGGCTGGGCTGAGGGACAGCCTCCCCCCATCCCCAATATACGAGTTTTGTGCACCCAGCTTCTATTAGATATATAAGTACAGAGCTGGTCAAAGTGAAATGGGATTTCTCTGACAGGCTGCTCATCCTTTAGTACCCTCACTAGCTGTCACTTCCGAGATTAAAAAACAAACAAACACAACAACACAAAACACCACAGAAAAGTCAAAATGTTAAATCAATTAAAAAGGAAAATAGGACAAAGAGAAAGAATCTGTAGAAAAAGAAACAATAGGAATAGTGCACAGATTTTAGAAGAGAAATTCACTCATGAGATAAAAATTTTTCACCTAGGAAGCATTCCAATTTTTCACCAGTACATGAGGACAGCTGAACTTACAAATGGGTGTTTTGTTGTCAAAAGACCAAAAAAATGGATAGTCTAGTAGAAAGTGGGATATATTATAATGTTATAATTTAAATAACTCACATTATATTTCTTCTTAAATTCTCTATTGAACTGCTCACACATCATGTCTACATCTGAAATTTCAGTTCCCCAGCTCTTCTCAGGAATAGAAAAGTCATTTGCAGACAATGGAGATGTACTTTCAGACACTAAAAAATGAAGACAAACAACCAAAGTTAAAATACACTTTAAAAAATGTAGCCTTATTTGTCATAAGCTGAGAATAAAACCTTATTTTCAGGTTCTATGTGTTAAAAAAAAAAAAAAAAAAAAAAGGTAGACATATTATTAATTTTAAAAGTCGTTTTATAAAAAAAATTTTGGCATGGTATTTAAAGCAGAAATGGTAACATTAAAATGGAACATTTTTAGATTATTTTTAATGGTTTTAGCTACTTCCATATTCCCCAGTATTTAGTAACACACCACTTTCTTAGTAAGTTCACACTCTAGTACAATTTGTATGAGGTAATCAGTAATAAAAAAGATGAGGGATATTTACAAGTAAAAAAGACTTTTACTATACTATTCATATCAGTACACTTGAGACAAAACATGACCCTCCTTGGACTTGACCAAAGTTGTCTTTACAAAGGATTTGTTTTGTAGATTGAGTCACTCAAGATCGAAGACATTACCTTCCCAAATAGCTGCATTTTGACAAATACATTTGATCTACCTACTTTTGTGACTGTGATCATCTGCATTTTCCATTTTAGACAGTTTTTGATGAAGCAAGTTTGCTCTACCTTCCTCTTCCTCTTCCAATCCTACTTCATCAGGATTAATGTTTTCTATGTACATTCGTTTGCGATTAACATGGAGTGTAGGACCTTAAAAACAGTTAAAAATGAATAGTGCTATAAGCTTTACTGGAAAACAAATCAGTTTCACTAAAAAAGAGATGTTGACAGGAAGCCAGGAAGACTGGTCAACAACCTTAATTGCTCTAACCTTTAGTTGAGATATTGTTAGCTGAAGCAGCCTCCACCTTGTTTGTCCTGTGTAAGTTTCTGTTATTTCCTGCCTAAGGGCTACATGTAAATTTCTGTTTATGCTGTCTGAGATGTTTTCCCCAAAGCCTCAATAAAAGGGGATGGCAGGGCCAGAGCAGTGAGTAGTTTTCCCACTAGACTTGGACTACCCATATGGCCAAGTTGAATTTCTTCAAGTCTCAAGTCTTTTCATTTGTGTGCTGCCCTTCTCCAGAACCCGAACCCTGAATTGGAACTTTTTCCATACGGGTCGTGAAAGAGATTCCTACAAAGCTTGATTAAAATACTTAATATGTTCTTGCTTTTATGAAAAAAGCATTTGTTTCATTAAATATTTATGTCATTTTAGGCAATTGTCCATTAAATTCCATCTAGTTCCTTGTTTTCATTTTGACATGAACTAATGAATAATTTAGTATGACTTAAGATATATAATTCCTTTAGATAAACTTGCACAGCATTTCAGTAACTAACTTAGAAACAAAATCAAGGTTGTGATTCAAACCTGATACATGAGTGGAGTCACAGGGTATGTCACATCTTATTTTCTCTCCTTCTTCACTAGACAGGGATAGTAGAGATGCTGAATGACTTTCCTAAAATATATATCAAAAATTGAAAAAAATACCATAAATATTCTTGGACTCACCTTTGACCATCTCTCAAAATCCTAAAGCCAGGAAATTACAAAAGCTGTAATTCTTTTTTTCCAGATTGTTTTGTTTCTCTCCCTGTCTTTTCATCTTTGACACTATTATGCATTAATCTAAATTCCTAGGTGAACCTCAATCTTAAACTATAGTAATAATTTTGAGCTGGCTTTTGCATCTGCTCCTGCTTTTCAATTCTTTCTTATTAGGGCTTTAATTTATTTGAGTCAGAAACTGGGGGAATATAGAAATAATTCTAAACTTTTTCCAAGCTATATCTTTAAGACATCTTTTTCATTTAATCTTGTGTTTTACTGTTTCAACAAAGAGGTTTCTTTCTTCCAGTCAAATTTCATGATAGTGTGTGTGTCCACTTCAAGTTCCCTTCCTTTACTTAGACTACTGTTCTTTCTCCATTTAGATCTAGGGCGAATCCCTGCCCCTCCATGCTTTAAAATTCTGTTTTAACTTTCTGTATTTTACAGATTATTAAAATATTTTTGTTGATGGAGCGATGGACATTTTAGTGACAAAAAATTAACAAAATTGATATATAATCATGAAGCCAGAAAGTCCTAGTTATAAATATATAAGTCCTTACTACTTCTCATTTAAAATTTTTCAGCTTTTTGCCCTAACTAGTTTGGCTAAGTGGGTAAAGCATTGGTCTACAAACTGAAATGTCCTCGGATCAATTCCAGTCAAGGGCACATGCCCAGATTGCAGACACTGTCCCCAGCAGGGGACATGAAGGAGGCAGCCAATCAATGATTCTCCCTTCCTCTCTGAGAACACACACACTAGAGGCCAGGTGCATGAAATTTGTACATGGGAAGGGGGTATTCCTCAGCCCAGCCTGCATCCTCTCCACCCTCTCCAATTTGGGACATCTTGAGGGATGTCTGACAGCTTAAACAGACAGTTGGACATCCCTCTCACAATCCAAGACTGCTGGCTCCCAACCATTAACCTACCTGCCTGCCTGACTGCCCTTAACCACTTCTGCCTGCCAGCATGATCACCCCCTAACCACTCCTTTGCCCGCCTGATTGATGCCTAACTGTTCCCCTGCCAGCTGGATTGCCCCTAACTGCTTCACCTGCAGGCTTGGCTCCCCCTCCTACCCCCCAACATTCCCCTAAGCCTGGTCCCCCTCAATTGCCCTCCTCTGCAGGCCTGATCCCCCATAACCACCCTCCCCTGCCAGCCCAATCACCCCTTACTGCCCACCCCTGCTGGCCTGATTGCCAACAATTGCCCTCCCCTGCAAGCCATCTTTTAGTGGCCATTTTCTGTCCACATGGGGGGCAGCCATCTTTGACCACATGGGATGGCCAACTTGTATGTTGGAATGACAGTCAATTTGAATATTACTTTTTTTATTAGACAGGATACACACACACACACACACACACACACAATTATATTCTGTTAAAAAAAAGGAAAATAAAAATTTTAGTTTTCTATGATCCAATTATCCTACATATTTTAAACATGAGACTTATAGATAATAGTTGAAAATATTAAAATATTACAATAATTATTAAAGGTCAATAATTGATTCTTATCAGACTACCTTAGTTTAGGGAAAATTTTATGGCCATAGTACCATACATCTCTCTCCCTTTTGGTTTGCATATGATTGTCATTGATATTTAGAGGTTTAATATCCATAAACTGTTTTTTTTCCCTGAACTATACTTGCTTACATCTTTATAGCTATTGTGGTTTTATGGTTCTTTTTTAAGTACCACAGAATTTAATTTTTTTTTCTATTTACAATAGTATTATTTTTAATACCTGGGCTATGGATGAGTAAGACATAACAGAAACTGAAAAAAATATTTAAAGCCAAAACTATTAAAACTATTTAAATTTTGAGGGAATAATTCATTTGCTGCTAAAACTTGACATCTATTAAAATTAAAAAAGAAATCCTTAGATAACTAGAACATTAATTTGATAACAAGTATCAACTAAAAACTATGGCTAAGCATGCCTGCTAGTACAATATCTATTTAACATTGCTCCAGAGATCATAGCCTCCTTAAGAAATAAAAACCCCCAGAAAGTACAAGGAGTGGAATAGAATGCAAAATTATCAGGAATAACAGTTTGATTGGCTATATGCAAAATCCAAGAGGATCTAGGCAATTTCTGATAGAACTGTCAAAGTTGTGGGGGACATAAAAGCAAGATAAATATTGGAAAAAAGAATGTGTTTGTGTTGTATATAACTAATACAGAATTAATGTCCAGAGTATATTAAAGAACTTCTATAGATTTGTAAGGAAAATCAAACAATGCAATTTAAAAGTCAGGAAAAAATAGGCAATTCACAAAATGGTCAAAAAACATATGAAAATACTAGCTAATGTTAATCAGGAAAATGTATATTAAAGTGAGAGACATTTCCCAGGCATTAGCCTGGCAAAAATAAAAACATTTGTAATAGCCATTTAATGAAAATATAGAGAAATGGGCACTGTTGGTGAGGGTAAAGTAAGCAAGCTGGTATAGTTAACTGATAGAGCAAATTTCCAATACCTAATTAAGAGTACACAGTAAGTAGGAAACAAAATGTCTCATATAAATGTCCAGCCAATAAATATGTAACAACTTAAATTCCATCTAGTACAGAGTAGCATCAATGAAAGTGGGTGGTGATTTCCTCGGTTTTGAGATTTGAAGAACAGGATACAGAAAGGATAAAGGATTCCGTGAAAGTAAGGCTGATAGAGTAATACTGACAAAGGACCATGAATGATAAGCTAGTTGGAAACTGTTTTTCAAATTATGGTACGCAAAAAGAGAGCACTGCAAAAGTCCTTTGGGTTTCCTGAAGAGAGGCTGAGTAGGCTAAGGTTTAGATCTCCTATCTACACTAAACAGCATAATTCATTTTTATCTGTTTGGCACATTGGAGGTTTCATATAAGATTCTGTTTGAAAAATATGGTCTTTGAAAACTACTGGTTAAACAAAATAAAGGGACCTTAAAGCATTCTAGGAGTAAAAACACTGAAGTGGTAAAACTCAAGGTTGTTTTAATTAGAGGTTGTAGATCTTGGCTATAGGTGTTCTGAATTGTCATTAATTCCACTTTATATACAGAGGTTAGTACATATCAAGAGAATTTACTATGTAAATATTTGAATATTTACAATGTATCAGGTAGTATACTTACATAATCAGCCTATTTAATTTTCCACAGCCCCCTTTTACAGATGAGAAAACGGAGGTGCAGAGGCAATTATCAATTTGCAAAATGTTACATAGGCAGCAAATAATGGAGCCAGGTGTGGCTTCATTCTGGTTGGGGCACATGGGGGCTCAATCCCCTGTGTGAGGGATTGGCAGGAGACAGCCAATCAATGATGCACTCTAATCATTGATGTTTCTCTCTCTCTCACCCTTCCTTTCTAAAATCAATTAAAAAAGAAATAGTACATATAACACACATAAAAGGAATTTTCAATATATTAAATAGTATTTACCTACCAGTTTTAAAGTTCCTTATGAAACTCTAAAGCAAATACTATAGTAATGCTGTTTTCCTTCCCTTTTTAAAAAATTAATCTTTATTGTTATTATTACAGACATCCCTCTTTATAGCTCCCCTCTATCCAGTTCCCACTTCACCTCAAGCCCTTGCCACCCTATTATCTGTGTCCATAGGTAATGCATACATGCAAATAAGATCTTTGTCTAATCTCTTTCAGTACCCCCCAAAAGCCCCATCCCTCTGGGAATTGTCAATCTGTTCCATTTCCATGCCCCTGATTCTATTCCACTCGCTAGTTTATTCTATCAGATTTTTTGTTTTATTTTTAGATTTAATTGTTGATAGATATGTATTTGTTGCCACTTTTTTTAATTCATATTTCTTATCTTTACCTTTTTCTTCCTCTTCTTAAAGAATACCTTTCTGCATTTCATATAATACTGATTTGGCAATGATGAACTCCTTTAGCTTTTTCTTGTCTGTGAAGCTCTTTATCTGACCTTCAATTCTAAATGATAGCTTTGCTGGGTAGAGTAATCTTGATTGTAGGTACTTGCTATTCATCATTTTAAATATTTCTTATCACTCTCTTCTGGCCTGCATAGTTTCTGTTGAGAAATCAGCTGATAGTCACATGGGTACCCCCTTGTGGGTAACTGCTTTTTTTTTTTTTTGCTCCTTTTAAGATTCTGTGTCTTTTGCCCTTAGCATTTTACTTTTGATGTGTCTTGGTGTGGTCCTCTTTTGGTTCCTCTTATTTGGGTTTCTCTGTGCTTCCTAGACTTGGAAATCTCTTTATTTCACCAAGTAGGGAAAGTTTTCTGTCATTATTTCTTCAAAATAGGTTTTCAATACCTTACTCTCTCTCTTCTTCTGGCACCTCCATAATTCGGATGTTGGTATACTTGAAGTTGTCCTAGAGGCACCTTACACTAACTTCATATTTTTGGATTCTTTTTTTCTTTGTTTTTCTGGTTGGGTGTTCTTTGCTTCCTCATATTTCAACTCACTGATTTGATTCTCAGGATCCTCTTATCTACTGTTGAATTCCTGTATATTATTCTTTATTTTAGTCAGTGTATGCTTAATTTCTGACTGGTCCTTTTCCATTTTTTGGCATTCCAAGATCCTTAAAGTCTCACAAAGTACCTTGGAGTTTTCTAAAAGATTCTTGAGTAACCCTATATCTGTGATTTTGAACTCTATATCCAGTAGTTTGCTTTCTTCCATTTCTTCCATTTGTGACATGTTTCTTGGACTCCATATTTTGGCTACTTTCCTGTGTTTGTTTCTATGTAATGGGTAGCTGCTAAGTCTCCTGGAGTTGATAGAATGGCATTGTGTAGTAGGTGTCCTGTACGGCTCTGTGGCTTAGCTTGCCCAATCACCTTAAGTGGACATTCTTGGTGCACCCCTTTGTAGGCTGTGTTGTGGGCTGTGTGCATAGTCTTGCTGCAGTTGAGCCTTGATTGCTATTGGTATCACTGGGAGAAATTGACCTCTGGCCAATTGGCTGCGGGGACCAGCTGAGACTACGGTGGGAGAGCACCCTTATAGGGCAGTACTTGCTTCAGTGGGGCTTTGGTGCTCATTAAGTTTGCCCCTTGAGTATGTTGCTTGTGGATGTATAGAGTTATAATTTGGTATGGTCTCACACTGACCAGTGGGTCCACTGGCTCTTGGGTCTCCAGGGAGGTGCAAAGTCAGCCACTGCCTGGGGAGATCCAGCAGGAGTTACAGAGAGATCTGCAGATTCCTTCTCTTTGTATCAGGTTTGGAAGTGCCCAGATGAAGCCCAGGTGTGAAGCAAGGCAGGCTGGTGCTGGTGCCAGGTCTTGGGCCTTTTTTTGTTTTCCATTTTTTATTAAGGTATTATATGTATACATTATCTTACCATTGCCCCTCTTACCCCACTCCCATACATGCCCTCAATCCCAGAGTTTTGTGTCCATTGGTTATGCTTATATGCATGCACAAAAGTCTTTCGGTTGATCTATTATCTCCTCCACCTCTCCCTAACCTTCCTTCTGTAATTTGGCATTCTGTTTGATGCTTTACTATCTTTTTATCTATCTTTTTGTTCAACAGTTTATAATTTTCTTTATTATCCATAAATGAGTGAGATCATGTGGTATTTTTCTTTCATTGACTGGCTTATTTCACTTAGCATGATGTTCTCCAATTCCATCCAGGTTGCTGCAAATGGTAAGAATTCCTTCTTTTTTATGGCAGCATAGTATTCCATTATGTAGATGTACCACAGTTTTCTGATCCACTCATCTGCTGATGGGCACCTAGGCTGTTTCCAAATCTTGGCTATTGTAAATTGTGCTGCTATGAACATAGTGGGTCTTGGGCCTTTTGATAAGTTTGGGGCTCCCTAACCCAGGTGCAGCTTGTTTGACATGCTTTTAGCCTAATAAAAGACAGGGCATTCATATGCAAAAGCTGCTGCGGATAACTTGGATGGGGCTGTAATTTGGGTGGGGTAGGATCTCAGGGAATGACCAGAGCAGACCAAACAGAAATGGCTGCCAGTCAATCCTGCAACTGGGGAGATCTCTGCACTGGAACAATAACTGCTGCAAGCTCCTCCATCTGGAAGAAAGCCACACCCAAGTTCCTGACAGTCCAGACAGTCTAGTTTCTCCTCGTATGTGTCTGGGTCCTCCACAGCCTCGCCCAGCACTGAAACTCAGAGGAAGTGGGAGATTGTAATTTCAGTTCATGGTGTTGGCCTTTTAAGAGGAGCAGTTGGGTCTCCAGCTGCACTGGATTTTATAGATCATAGTTCTTACTGCCTTTAGGGACTTATTTTCTCAGCTCTGGGACCCTGGGCTGGGCGTCTTGAGACCCCTTGCTCCTCCCAGTGGCTTCCCTCCCTATTAAAAAAAAGTGGCGGGTGTGTATGCTGGACCAACCCCTTCCACCAGCCTCTTCCACGCCTCCACACTTCCTACCAGTCTCACTGTGCTTCCTTCTTTACTTCTCTAGCTGTAGTACTTCTATTCAGCCAGCTTTCCAGTGGTTCTGGATGATTGTTGTTCTGTATTTTAGTTATAATTTTGCTGTGGTTGTGGAATGCAGCCAGTATAGGCATTTACCTACGCTGCCATCTTGGTTCTCTCCCAGTCATACTATTTTCAACTGCAATTCTTGGCAATTTTGCTTTGTCAACTTGTGATTTAGTAACTAAAGGTTACAAACTTTAAATTACAGTAAAATCTGAAACAAGTGTCAGTGTTGCAGGACTAAGCCTATTGAAATCTAGAAAATAAATACCGTATTTTCCGGCATATAAGACGACTTTTGAAATGAAAAAAAGTCAATCGAAAATCAGGGGTCGTCTTATACGCCACGTATATCCCGAAAAAACGTCTCAATATGCCGCTAAACGAATTTTCCAACTCAATCCCGCACCAATCACTGCAAGACTACTCGGATCGCCTCTCTAACTCAGCCAATCCAAGCAGGCTTTTTATGCATGCAAATTATACATGTTCTGTACCTGAAGCTACACTGTGTTCTAGTAAAAAGCTTGCTTAGATTGGCCAGAGTCAGAGAGGCGGTCTATTATAACCTTTGAACCTTTGCTTGTTGTGATTGGCTCACCATGGTACATACAGTTGCAGCACAGGAACGTTCTGTGTAGCCAAAGCTGCTGTATCAGGACACATACAGTGAGTTAAAAGGTACCGTAATAGAACATTCTGTGTGTAGCTGAAGCTACAGTACTGTATAACCCCGGCCTAAAAGATTAGTGGGTGTACAACAAATGGCTGGTAGAAAAGAACCCATCATGGCTCCAGCAAGAAGAAGGAAATTTGAAGCCAGTTTCAAACTGAAAGTTGTAAACTTTGCCAAGAAACACAATAACTGTGCTGCGGCAAGACAATATGGAGTAACAGAAAAGATGGTCCGAGACTGGAAAACAAATGAAGATGCATTAAAGAGTATGCCAAGGAGTAAGTGTGCATTACGAGGTACCTCTTATTGGCCAGAACTCGAAAAGCATGTAGCAGACATGGTTCTTGAGCATCGTCAAAATGGTTATGTAGTGACACGAAACAAAATACGTATGTTTGCACTTCAGTGGGCCTAATCTAACCCAGATAAAAGCAAAGGATTTAAGGCCACTGTATCCTGGAGTACTAGGTTCTTGGAAAGGCACAATCTGGTACTGAGGCAAAAGACCAAAATTGCACAAAAATTACCTGCAGATCTTGACAGCAAAGTCAGTCTTTTCCATCAATATATAATACAACAGTGCAAGAAACATGGCTATGCATTAAGTCAGATCGGAAATATGGATGAAACTCCTATGAATTTTGATATGGTTGGAAATAAAACTGTTAATCCAAAAGGTGCAAAAACAGTGTTAATTAAAACAACAGGACATGAAAAGTCCAGTTTTACAGTGGTACTAGCATGTACAGCTGATGGTGCCAAACTAAGAACAATGATTATTTTTAAAAGAAAAACAATGCCGAAAATCAAGTTCCCTGTTGGAGTTTTTGTACATGTGAATGAAAAAGGATGGATGGATGAAGAAGGGGTAAAGCTATGGCTTGATAATGTATGGAGTAGGTGACCAGGTGGACTTCGTCAAGAACATAGCCTACTGGTGTGGGATATGTTCAGGGCTCATTTAACTACCAGCACAAAGAACAGGCTGGCAAGAATAAACACAGATGCGGCAGTTATTCCTGGAGGACTGACATCATTGGTACAGCCACTGGATGTGTACCTAAACAAGCCATTTAAAGATCGCATTAGAGAACAGTGGAATGAGTGGATGGTTAGCGGCAAAAAGTTATTCACAAAAGGAGGAAACATGCGTGTGCCACAATTGGATGTTTTGTGTAACTTTGTCATAAAAGCCTGGAATGATATTACTGAAGAAACAGTAATCAGGTCTTTCAAGAAGTGTGGCATATCAAATTCTTTGGACGGTATGGAGCTTGACTCTTGTGGCAAGATGAAGGGGAAGCCGAAGCTGAAGCCACACCATCTGATTCAGAATTTGATCCATATGATGACTATCTTACAAATGTACCACAAGAAGTCATTGATGAACTTATGATGTCAGAAGAACATCATGATGAGGATTTTGAAGGATTTTAAGCTCACAATGCTCCTCTGCCTAGAAAAACCTATCATCCCAGTCAGTCACAAACAAGCGTTTTCTGCAAGTTCTTCATGTAATTTTCTTTCCAGATGATGCCGTCATTGTTAATGTTCTCTTTTGGATTTCTTGTTTCTCGGTCAAGTTCATGGCATTGCCATTGGTGAAGAGACCTTCCATTTATCATATCAATGTACGGTATGTTACGGTATGTTCGAAAAATGTCATTCATTAAAAATTTAATTAAAAAAAGAACTGGTGTTGCCTCGGAAGTGGGGGGTAGTCTTATACAGCGAATATAGGCCTAAACCTATGTTTTAACTGTAAAATTAGGGGGTCGTCTTATATGCCCGAAAATACGGTACATCGTATTGATGTAAAGACAAATAAGCAGTGCCTCTTTGAAAACAGGCATTTCTATCACAGCACTCTTGCCAGCACGCTGTGCTTCTCATACCACCACTTTCCTCCTGAACAGCAACTTTAATCTGTCTATTAGGTTTATTGAGGCTATTTTACTTAACAGTAGGATCCTCTTCTCCCCCAGACCAGACACAAAAGCTTAAGCAATGTGTATTTGATTAAAGGGAAATTATTTACCCACTTCAAATATATCTAATTAAGGAAAATATTTTATAATCTTACCAAAGAGCATGATTGTGGAACTGGTGAACTTTCTCTTGCACATAGTAAATTTTTCTCACTGTTTTTCAGTGAATTTACTGGACCTTCCACTCCATATTTACTGTTGAAGGACTCAGGTGAGGAAGTTTTTGTATTGGGTGATAAGGATTTCATTATACAGTCATGATCCTGAGTAAAATCCCTTTCTGTTATTTTTTCTGTGCCTATATTTCCTCACAAGACACACAAAAAAAGAGAGATGGCAGGTGTTAATGATGTCTGCTTTAGAATAGAATGATTAATTTAAGTTCTAAAAATATGTAATTTACCAAATTCTCAAGTATTAGCTGTATTTAAAAAGGATAAACTTTCACTAAATCAAGATCGAATTATGTTTAAAATATATAAGACTTTGAAAAATGTTAAATGGGTCCATTTTAATGTAATTTTAACCATAAGAATATTCAAAATATTTCCAAACAAAATTATCGATAGTATAAGCTGCACTATAATGAGAAACCTGAGTATTTGACATCAGTACTATATAAATTCTGTGATATAAGTCACAGAATTTTATGGTTGGAAAGACTTGGAAAATCATTTTGTTTAAATCCTTCATATATAGATGAGGAAATTCATGACTGCAATAAATCTTAATATAAGTGAATTATCAGTTTTCAGCTCAAATCAGGGCATGTGCATCTGTCTTCTTGAGTATGTGGTTATCTGAGATGACAGTGTTCCCAAGCATTATGAAAATATTACAGAAAAGAACAAAATAGCCACTGTAGAGGAAGTGTATATGTTAACTGATATAAGTCTTGAATTTTAACTGAAATTACAGACATTTAGAAATGCTTTAAAACATCCTTTAAAGGAACTGAAAGTATAAAAAGAGCAAATATGAACAACTTCAGTGTCATAGTAACATTGATCCCAAGTCTACTTATATTTAGCAAAGACCAAGTTCTGAGCATTAACTAGTTTAAAAATAAAATTTTGACTAGTACCTAAAATCTTAACACACCTCTTAAAATTAGTCTTCAAATTATATTTTCATATAATTAGTTATAATAAGGCTTTTAAATATTCAACTAAAGGAAGGAGATACTGACATCTCATTACTTCTATAGAGGGTGGACTTCCAGGTAAAGACACAGAAGATAAGTCAAGGCTGTTGTCTCTTATAGTAGTACTTTTTAGGAGAGATGAGCTTGCCCATTCTTTTGATATATCCTTGTGTGTTTCCGCAGAGAAAGCATTCTGCTGTTTCTTTGGCAGCTTCATGGTTTTGCTTCTGGAATGGATATTCTCCTCCTAAATGTATTGATAATTTTCAAGTTATATTATAATACAAGTAATTTAAATTACATTGAAATATTTATTAAATGTCTTATATTATTACATATGAGCATAGCAGGGGATGCAGCACTAATACACTAGTGAAAGACTCTAATACACTTAAAGACATATGGGAAATTCACCATAAATATAATATATACACTATAATAAATACCATAAGAGATAACAATAAAATACTCTAAAGTTCAGGAGATTATGCTCAGTTTAGTGAAAGCAGAGAGAGTTCCTGAGTTCCAGGGCTCAGAAGTCTAGAAAGGAGGGTGGAGAGAGATGGAGTATTGAGGGGATGGAGGCCTGCTGGCACACAGAGTAGACAAGTACAGGTTTCATTTGGAAGCTGCAGGTACTCTGACAGTCATAGCCCTGGGGGTACATTTTAGCGGAGGGGAAATAAGCTTGGAAAGGTATTTTGATCCTTTGGATGTCTGACTACATGAAGATAGATACTTAAAGTTATTTTTGAAGAGGATAAGATGAGAAGGTGGCCTGGGAAGACTGACCTGACTACATGTATAGTAAATTAAAGCAAGAGTGACAGAAACTATGGGGATAAGTTATGAAATCCTTAATGTCTTCCAGGTAAGAGATAAGAAGGTTACAAACAAAGGAATATAGAGGTTTAGTGATTTAAAAGCAGAACAGTGTAATGGCCAGAGACTCATACCTAGAGTGCCATACTTTTTTAGGTTCAAACCATTTGTTTACCACTTCCTAACTGTGCTCATTTGGGCAAATTCCTTCATCTCTCTGTGCCTAAATTTTCTCATTTGTAAAATGAGATGTCAATAATAGTACTAGTAAAGAGAACACTAGTTCATTGCTGGTGGGAATGCAGACTGGTGCAGCCATTATGGAAACAGTATGGAGTTTCCTAAAAAAAAAAAAAAAATAGAACTCCCATTTTACCCAGAGATCCCACTTCTGGGAATATATCTTAAAAATCCTGAAACATCAACCAGGAAGAATAAATGCATCCCTATGTTCATAGCAGTGTTATTTACAATAGCTAAGATTTGGAAACAGCCCAAGTGCCCATTAGTATATGAGTAGATAAAAAAACTGTAGGACATTTATACAATATATACTATACAGCAGTAAAAAAAGAGGGATCTTTTACCCTTTGTTACAGAGGATGAACCTGGAGAATATTATGCTAAGTGAAACAAGCCAATCTGAGAAAGACAGATATCCCATGATCTCACTTATTTGTAGAATCTAATGAACAAAATGAATTGACCAACAAAATGGGACCTGAGGCATGGAGGCATGGAACAGATTGTCATACCTTGATGTGGGGTTGGGGGGATGAGAAGAGATAAATCAAAGAACTTATACAGTTATATGCATAGCCCATGGACAGGGGCATAGGGTAGTGAAGACTTGGGGGGTGAATAGAGGCTGGGAGGAAGGGCAGGGGGGAACAGGAGACATCTCTAATACTATCAACAATAAAAATACATCTTATCTAATAAAAGAGTAATATGCAATTTGACCGTACATCCACTACACCCACCAGCCATGCCCACCAGCCAATCAGAGCAAGTATGCAAATTAACTACATCCAAGATTGCTGCGGCCACAGAGAGCAGGAAGGAGGCTTGGGTTTCCCTTCCTGCCCCCATGTGGATACAAGATGGCCAGCAGGGGAGGGCAGGTGGGAGGCACCAGGCCTATAAGGAAGGGCAGTTGGGTGTGATCAACCCTGCAGGGGAGGGAAGTTAGAGGTGACCAGGCAGGCAGAGGAAGGAAGTTGGGGACAAACAGGCTGGCAGGGGAGCAGTTAGACATCAATCAGGCTGGCATGGGAGTGGTTAGGGGGTGATCAAGCTGGCAGGCAGAGAGGTTAGGGGTAATCAGGAAGGCAGGTAGGTGAGCAGTTGGGAGCCAGGAGTCCTGGATTGTGAAAGGGATGTCCAACTGCTGTTTAGGCCCGATCCCACCAGGCCTAAACGGGCAATCGGACATTCCTTGAGGGGTCTCAGATTGGAAAGGGTGAAAGGCTGGGCTGAGGGACAACACCACCCCCTCCCTCCCATGCACTAATTTCATGTACCAGGCCTCTAGTATTACAATAATAATAGTACTAGTCACCTACAGTACTTAGGAGATTTTAAGAAGTCAAATTTACAAAGTACATATAGATACTCCTCAATTCACAGTGGGGTATGTCCCCATAAGCCCACTATAAGGTGAAAATGTGGTTGTCAAAAATGCACTTACTACATCTAACTACTGAACTTCATTAGTCTTGACTACCTTAAGTGTGCTCAGACACAATATCCAAAAAACCCTGGCAACAGACTGCACTATAGTGTTGTTTGTTGACCCTGGCAATGTTGTGCCTGACTGGGGACTGCCCCTGGCCACAAATTGCTAGCCTGGAAAAAGATAAAAATTCAAAACCTGAAGAATGGTTTCTATTGCTTTCATACCAGTGTAAAGTCAAAAATTATAAGTTGAACCATTGTAAGTTGAGGACATCTGCACTTAAAATAGTGCCTGGCACAATATAAACAACATCTAAATATATATATATATATATAGATTTTAGAGAGGAAGGGAGAGGGAGAAAGAAATAGAAGCATCAATGATGAGAGAGAACTATTGATTGGCTGCCTCTTGAATGCCTCCCCTGGGGACCGAGCCCACAACCTGGGCATGTGCCCTTGACCAGAATCGAACCCAGGACCCTTCAGTCCTCAGGCCGATGCTCTATCCACTGAGCCAAACCAGCCAGGGCTAAACACCATTTTTTATAACAATTTTAAAAAGCACAAGTCAATAGGGATGTCTGTGACATTATGAGATTTGAGGAAGAAGTCAGGGATGCTCAGAGATGGAACAGTGTAGGAGAAGAATCTCAGATTCAGTAGTTTTACTTTCAATCAATATCAGTTAGTACTTTCTTGAAGCATTATTTTGGAAAGATCAAGTACTTCTCTAATTCAAAAAGAAGTACAAATTCTTAAAGTTACAATTCTACTAGAGTCAAACATCTGTTTTGTAACACTAATAAAAACTTATTACGATCAATTTTTAGAATTATGTAAGTTTTCTCAATCTTAAAAAGTAGTGAACAGATACATTTGACATTTTTTAAAAATTCTATATTTAGTATTTTAAAGGCTTTTAGAAATTATTAATCTAAATTGTTTCTATTTACCTGTACTAGCAATTTCTCTTTCAATGAGTGTGAAACTTCTTGTTCACTTTCTGATTCTGAATTTGAGAGATCTTTATAATTTTTTTGGGTGTTTGCTGCTCTTCGTGGAAGTCTGGTTCTCCCATCTTGAATGGTTTCATCTACCTTTTTAGTGATATTCTTCTTATATGTCTTTGGGAGAAAAATTCCTGAGTATTATATCAATATTTGAGTTACAAGAAACACAAGTTATTTGCTAATATACATTTATTGAAATAAAAAGCTTTCTGATTAATATTTTTTAAATGACTGGAGAGAGAATTTTATTAAAAAAAAGACTGGAATACATCAGAATAATACTTAGTGATAAAAACCTAGAGAATATCACATACTGTATGATTTCAATTACATGTGGAATCTCAAAATCAAAATAAAACAGAAACCAACTCAAAGAGAGAACAAACTGACAGCTGCCAAAGAGGGAGGGAGGAAGGCAAAGGGGATAAAGATTAAGAAGCACAAATTTCAAGTTATATATTTTAAAAAGAGGATTTTATATTTCCACTCCGAATTTCTTCTATCAATAAAAGTTTGAAAGGCCTGATTTATATTACCTAATTTAAGTATAAAAGAGAGAAGAAAAAAAGAGATGTCAAAAATATTTTTCACCACAGAATAAAATAGACCTAAAAGAGGCTAACATTTAAAAAAGGCAGAAGGGCCGGGACCGGTTTAGCTCAATGAATAGAGCGTCAGCTTGGGGACTGAAGGGACCCGGGTTCGATTCCGGTCAAGGGCATGTACCTTGGTTGCGGGCATATCCCCAGTAGGGGGTGTGCAAGAGGCAACTGATTGATGACTCTCTCTCATCGATGTTTCTAACTCTCTCTCTCCCTTCCTCTCTGTACAAAATCAATAAAATATATTTTTTTAAAAATTTAAAAATAAATAAATAAATAAATAAAAAAGGCAGAAGGTAGGAGTAAGGGTGCAAAAACTGACACAATTATGAGAAACAAGTGACTGATAAGGATATAACTATGTGATGACACATGAATTTTTTTTTATGACAAAGAAAAATGGTTTTAAAGGGTAGTTAGAACACAAACTTCCAAGTTTTACCATTTTAGGACTTGATGGTTCTCTTTCCAAAGATGGTCCTGCAATTCAAGAAAATAAGATTAAAATTTTCAAATGGTATTAAAACTTATCAGATAATGGCCACTCGAACAGGAATAAGCTATCTCATTGCAGTTTTGATTTGCATTTCCCTAATTGGCAGTGAGATTTAGAAAAAGCTAAGAACCATATGATCTCACTCATATGTGGGATATAAAACTGAAACTCGTGAACACAAACAGCAGCATGGTAGTTGCCAGAGGGAAGGGGGTGGGAGAAGAAGGGGGTTATAAGGTTACAGAAAATTTGACTTTGGGTGGTGGACACATGGTACTATATACAGATCTTATAATACAGAAACCCACACCTGAAACCTCATTCATGTTGACCAATGTCACCCCAATCAATTTAATAAATAAATAAATAAATAAATAAATAAATAAGTAAATAAATCTTATTAGAATATTTCTGTATATAAGTTGAAATCACATAAAATAAGAATATATATTTAAACTCATTCAAACTAAATTTAAAGATGAGTTGAGGACAAATTGACTTTGAAAATTTTAACTGTATAGTATTTGATATGATGTGACTTACCCATTTCTCTTCTCCTTTATATAATAAAACTTTTTAAACATACAACACAATATATAACATTAAGTATATATAGCACACCCATGATGCTACTATTCAGTTTAGGGACTATAGTGGAACCTCGATTCTCAAACTTTATGCGTTCCAGAAGGCTGTTAGAGAAGCAATTTGTTCAAAAATTGAATCAGGAGGAGGTGGGGAGGGGGTGGAGTGTAGGGTGGGAACCTGGTGGAGGGGAGAAGAAATGAGGAACCTTTGTAATAATATGAACAATAAAGATTGATTTAAATTTTAAAAAATTGAATCATTTTTTTCCCCATTAGAAATAAGGTAATTGAATTAAGATTAATTCCAGATCCCCAAATAATTCCATTTTATTTAATACTAAAGGCCTGGTGCATGAAATTCATGCATGGGTAGAGTCCTTAGGCCTGGCCAATGATCAGGGAGAATCAAGGCCAGGCCGATCAGGGCCCAAATGGAGAGGAGGCCACGGTTGCCAGGCCAGGTGCAGAAGGAACAGACACCAGTCACCACCACTGTGTGGTTCCCTGCCTCCCCTCCTCCTCCCTCCCTCACTGCTGCTCCACCACCACACTGCATAGACAGTGTGCTGATAGGGGCCTGCCAACCAGAGGGAGGAACAAGACATGGAGGTTGGCTGTGGCCCTGAGGAGGGAGCCAGCCCTTGGCCTCCTGGGAAAGGGGCCGCGTCTGCCTGTCCAAACCCTGGGGGCTGACCCTGATGGGTTATCCGGGCCTGCTGGCTGCGGGGAAGGGACCCCACAAGGTTGGTCAGCTGTGGGGGACGGGACTGCGGGAGGGTGGCTGGCTGGGGGAGGTTGGCTGTGGGGGGGGTGGGGGGGGACACACACACACACACGCACTGACCACCAGGAGGCAGCTCCTGCATTGAGTGTCTGACCCCTGGTGGTCAGCATGCATCATAGCAACCAGTCATTAAGTTTCTTAGGCTTTTATATATATAGATTTCTTATATATAATACAATGTGTAATGTACTGTTTACTCTATAAACACTTCTTAAATTTATTGAACTGCCCTCTACTAGCCTTAAATGAATTTTTAATATATCACTGTCTCTAAAATGCTATCACAGACTAACTGCTTTTCCTTTATCCAATGAACAACAGTGATGGCCCGAAATTGTTTTTTTATGAGGATTTTCACATCCTTAGAAACATTAAGAGGAGATCCAAGATGGCAGCTTAAGTAAACAAACCTAAACTGCTTCTGTGCACAATAATTTTAAAACTACAACTAAAAGATAAAATGTCTATCATCAAAAACCACGGGAAAGCTGGCTGAAAGGAAGCTCTACAACTAGATTGAAAGAGAAAGGAGCATTCAGGGTAAAAGCGCTAAAAAATTGAGGTATGGGGGCACGCACGTGATATGGGCTGGTGGCGGATCTCGGCTGGTGGAGGGTATTGCTTTCTTCAACCTGAAGAGAGACAATCTCACAATCTCTCTGAAATCCCGTTTCAGGGGAGAAGCTAAACTGTCTACTACACATGTGTCAAACACAAGGCCCGCGGGCCAAATCCGTCCCGCCAGGCCTTGCAATGTGGCCCGCACCGCGATGTCATCACTGCACTCCACTGTGTTTCCATCACAATGACAGTTTATGACTGTTCAGTAAACCATTCGGCCCACGATTTAGGCTGGATTTTAGATTTTGGCCCCTTCTCTGATTGAGTTCGACACCCCTAGTCTACTATCAGGTCAAAAAGTGAGGGTGGCTTGCTTGCAGAGCTGTGCGCAAGAATAACTGTTTGCTGTCTGTGGACTCAAGATGCAGGGACAAGGGGGGAGAGGCAGAGATGGCTGACTGCCAGCCATCCCTGTTTGCCATGCCCTAGCCTTGAGACTCTGCCCCTCACAATCTATAAACACACCCAAGCTCTAAGCAGCAGCTTTTGCATATGAATGGCGTTCTCTATTGCAGTTTAACCTAGCAAACTTGCAACCTGGTGCAGGCAGCTTCAAAACTTCCAAGCTCCAAGCAGGGAGGAGAGGACTGTAGCTCCTGCAGGTTGGCTTCAGACAGCAGCTGAACTGCACCCCATTGGAGAGCCAGAAGCCAGGGTACCTAGTGGTCAGTGTGAGACACCAGATTTCAACTCCTCACATCCATAAGTGACAAATTCGAGAGGCGGACTCATTGGGCACCAAGGCCTGAAACAAGGCCTGCACTACAAGTGTGTCTCCAGTGCAGCAGTTCTTCCATTATAGACACAGAGGATCCTCACAGCCAATTGGCCTGGAGGTCAATTTCTCCCAGTGTACCAACAGCAATCAAGGCTTAACTGCACCAAGACTTTGCACTCAGCCCACAAAGGGGTGTACCAAGAGCAACCACTTAGGTGATTGGGGAAGCTGAGCCCCTATAAAACCACTCCATCAACACAGGGAGGCAACCAAAATGTGGAGACACGACACAGAAGCATGTCATGAATGGGAGAGATGGAGGAAAGTAACCTACTGGATTACACAGAGTTCAGAATCAGATTTATAAGGTTTCTCAAGAATCTTCTAAAAACCGCTGAGAAACTTGAAGAGAACTTCAAAGACCTTAATGAGAATACCAAAAAAATGGAAAAGCACCAGTGAGAAATTAAGCATACACTGCCTGAAATAAAGAATACACAGAAACTCAACTCTAGATCAACGTACCCCAAGAGTCAAACCAAAGATCTGGAATATGAGGAAACAAAAAACACCCAACCAGAGAGGCAGAAAGAAAGAAGAATCCAAAAGTGTGAGGAAGTGTAAGGAGCCTCTGGGACGGCTTTAAGCATACCAACATCCAGATTTTTTGGTGTGCCAGGAGGAGAGAGAGAGCAGGATATTAAAGGCCTATTGAAAGAAATAATGACAGAAAACTTTCCCCACCTGGTGAAAGAAGTAGATTTACAAGTCCAAGAAGCACACAGAACCCCAAACAAAAGGAATTCAAAGAGGACCACACATCACAATTAAAATGCCAAGGGCAAAAAACAAAGAGAGAATCTTACAAGCAGCAAGAGAAAAAAGTTAGTTACCTACAAGGGAGTACCCATACAACTGTCAGCTGATTTCTCAACAGAAACTATGCAGGCCAGAAGGGAGTGATAAGAAATATTCAAAGTGATGAATAGCAAGAACCTACAACCAAGATTACTCTACCCAGCAAAGCTATCATTCAGAATTGAAAGTCAGATAAAGAGCTTCACAGACAAGAAAAAGCTGAAGGAGTTCATCACCACCAAATCAGGATTACATGAAATGCTTAAGGGTATTCTTTAAGAAGAGGAAGAAGAAGAAAAAGGTAAAGGTAAAAACTATGAACAACAAAAAGACATCAAATACATATCTACCAACAAGTGAATCTAAAAATCAAGTGGAAAAAAAATCTGAAGAACAGAATAGACTGGTGAATATATAATAGAATCAAGGACATAGAAAGGGAGTGGACTGACAATTATCAGGGGGAAGGGCGTCTGAGGGGTGCGAGAAGAGATTGGACAAAAATCTTACACCTATGGCTGAAGATAGTGGCAGGGGGTAAGGGTAAGGGCGTGGGGTGGGGTGGGGTATCAGGTGGAGGGTAGGTATGAGGGGGGGAAAGAGAGGAACACCTGTAATAATCTGAACAATAAAAATTTATTATATAAAATTTTAAAAAAGAAAAAGAAACATTAATACTTTTTTTAAATTGCTGATTAAATCAATGATTAACACAATTTTAAAATACAACAAGACCATCAATAGTGTTAATGTTGCTCTAGCTGGTTTGGTTCAGTGGGTAGACTGTTGGCCTTCAGACTAAAGAATCCCTGGTTTTATTCAGTCAAGGGCACAAAACAATTCACTCGAAAGTTCAACTTTAAAAGTAATTATTGACTACAATATTCTAATCTTTCATGTTTCCCAAGATATATAATCTACTTTGTCTTTTATTTGTACAATTTCCCACTAAACTGTAAGTTCCCTGAAAACATGTGAATCTCATGTTTCTCCAATACTTTAAAGTCCAATAACTATGACTAGATCTAGGATATCCTTGAACATTTTCCCACAAATTTGATCTACATTCTAATTACTGCAATACTTTATCCTCTGAGCACACTAAGCTACTTCATACTTCTGTCTCTTTTTTTATGATAATTCTGCTGCTTCTTTTCCTTATGCATATGATGGGACTCTCATCTGATTTCAAGAATCAGCCTCACCGAAACCGGTTTGGCTCAGTGGTAGAGCGTCAGTCTGCAGACTGAAAGGTCCCAAGTTCGATTCCGGTCAAGGGCATGTATGTTGGTTGCGGGCACATCCTCAGTAGGAGGCATGCAAGAGGCAGCCGATTGATGACTCTCTCATCGATGTTTCTAACTCTCCATCCCTCTCTCTTCCTCTCTGTAAAAAAATAAAAAAAAACAAAAAAAAAGAATCAGCCTCATATCTAAACTCATGACAAAGTTCATTTCCATATGTCTATTTTTTCTTTTTAAGCCATTACCTCCTCTCCGCCCTTACCCCCAACCCCACAGGTTGCTACGGGTTATTTTTATCCTGAAATAAAATAAAAGCTGATTCCTAGAAAAAAAGAATATAAAAAGATGTAGGAGCCTCTGGGACTACTTCAAGGGTACCAACATTTGCATCATGGTAGTGCTGGAAGGAGAAGAGAGTGAACAAGAAGTTGAAAACCTATTTGCAAAATTACAGAAAACTTCCCTTACCTGGTGAAGGAAATACATACAAGTACAGGAAGCTCATAGTGTACCAAAGAGATCCACACCAAGATATATCATATTTAAAATGCAAAAGGTTAAAGACAAAAAAATCTCAAGATCTTAAAAGCAGCAAGAGAAAAGCAGTTAGTTTCCTACAGAGAATCTCTCAAAATACTATCAGCTGATTTCTCAACAAAAACTTTTCAGGTAAGAATAACATGGTAAGAAATATTCAAAGTGATGAAGAGCAAGGACTTACAATCAAGACTACTCTATCCATCTATCATTTAGAATCAAAGGATATATGTAGAATTTCCCAGACAAGGAAAAGCTAAAGGGATTTACCCCAAACCAGTATTATCGGGTCTAGTAATAATTAATGTCGTTTTTTTTACATTCGTTTAAAATCTTGCTTGGCGTTGACTTGTATTGACATAACCTTCAAACACGTGGTATCTACAGAACATGTGAAGTGCAATTAACAAGTTTTGCTTGAAAAAGTTTGTGTTTGGTTTGGTTTTTGTTGCAAAACTAGGGCTAAGAAGATGGCGGATGAAGAGCATATTCGGCACTGCATGCTTTACGAGTTCCAATTAGGAAGAAAAGCAAGTGAGGCTGCAAAAAACATCTGTAGTGCTCTTGGTCAAGATGCAGTTAGCACCAGAAAATGCCAGCGTTGGTTTGAGAAATTTCGCGAGGGAAATTTTTCGTTAGATGACAAGAGTGGTTGAGGCCGTGTGTCCAATTTTGATCAAGAAGCTCTTCAAGCTCTTTTGGTGCAAAATCCTCAAATTACCCAACAAGAGCTTGCGACAACTTTAAATTGTTCACAAAAAACAATTTCCAATCAATTGCGTGCACTTGGCAAAGTCCAAAAGTTTGGAAAATGGGTTCCTCATGAGTTGACCGACAACAACCGTAATCAAAGAGTCACAATTTGCAGTTCGCTCCTCTCTCGTCAAAACCGTTTGCCGTTTTTAGAGCAAATTGTTACCAGAGATGAACAATGGGTGCTGTATGTTAATGTGAAAAGGCGGCCTCAATGGCTGGACAAAAATGAGGCTCCACAGCCCACGCCAAAACCTGACTTGCATGCGAAAAAAGTGATGTTGTGTGTTTGGTGGAATTTTAAAGGAATTCATTATGAACTTTTACCATCTAACCAAACCATTACAAGTGCAGTGTATAGTGCCCAATTGGAAAGGTTAGCCCAAGCTTTAAGAGAAAAAGAACCCGCGCTGATTAATCGGAAGGGCATAATTCTTCACCACGATAGCGCACGACCGCATACTGCAAGAATCACTGCTGAAAAACTGCGCCAGTTGGAATGGGAAGTTCTCCCTCAACCTGCATATTCTCCTGATATTGCCCCTTCCGATTACCATTTGTTTCGTTCTTTGCAAAACTTTCTTCTTGGAAAAAAATTTAATAATGAAGAATGCCTCAAAAATGCATTGACCGAATTTTTTGCATCAAAATCACAAGAATTTTACAACAGAGGGATTAAAATGCTTCCTGAGGGTTGGGCACAAGTAGTAGAAAACAACGGCAACTATATTGTTGATTAAATTTTGTTGTATTGTTTAAATAAATTTGATTTAAAAAGTATTAGAAAACGACATTAATTGTTACTAGACCTAATACGTGAAATGTTAAAGGGTATTCTTAAAGAAGTAGAATAAGAATAAATAAAAAATATGAACAATAATATGGCAACAAATACATATATGTAAACAAATGAATCTAAAAGCAAAATAAATGAAGAAGCAGAAAACAAACAGACTAATAGAAAACATTTTGATAGTTGCTAGATGGCAAAGGTTTTGGAATGGGTTAAAAAAATGAAGGGATTCAGAGGTGCAAATTGGTTGGTACAGAATAGTTATGGGGTTGTAAAATATAGCATAGGGAATATACTAAATAATATTCTAATAACTATGTATGGTGTCAAGTGGGTTCTAAATTTATCAGGATGATCACTTAATAAGTTATATAATGTCAATCACTAGGGTGTACATGTGAAACTAATATAATATTGTATATCAAATGTAATTAAAAAAATGACTAAAAGTAAAATAGCTGATTCCCTTAAAATAAATATAAATTTAATAGCTCAGTTCTGTTGTCTTCTATTAAAAAAATAGAATATATAAAGTCTTTGTGGTTTAGTAAACATTAAAATTAATGTTAAGTAAGGAAAATGGTCATTATGTCTATCACAAAACATACCTCAAACTCTTATTCAACTACTTCAGGAAATTTGCTAGAGAAAGCAGAAGCCATATGCTAGCAAAACATTCTGTAAAAGATTTGGGCAAAAATAAGTCTGCAAGAAAATTGTTTTCCTTTCAATATATTTTTGCTGCATCTATATCAATTCCTAAAACTTATGTGTGTTGGGTATGGCAGGAAATGGGGATGTTGTCCACGTTTTGATTTTATTTAGGGTGCTGGGTTCATGAGAACTTAATATAATTATTCACAATAAATACTCAATGACTGAATAACAGTAGGTTAAGAACAGACACATAGTGACAGTATGTCATGAACCAAAGATCATAATAAGTCACATTTTATGTCCCTAAAGATCCCATTTTAAAAAACCAATTTAAATATAACCATTGTACAAAAGTAATAATTGAAAAGCAAAACCACTATAGTGTTTGTGTATTTGCTTTCACTTTTTTTTCTATTCATAGGGGTGTGTAATAAAAAATACTATCCACATACAAAAATATATTTAGTTACCATCAGAGCATTTTATATAGCTAAAATAGTAAAATTATTTGTAACATACTACCTAATAAAAGAGTAATAAGCAAATTAACCATCACTCCCCTATACCCACAAGCCATGCTCACCAGTCATGTCCACCAGCCAATCAGTGAGTATGCAAATAAGCCCAACCAAGATGGCTACAGCCATAGAGAGCAGGAAAGAGGATTGGGTTTACTAGGCAATGGAGGAAGCCAAGCTTTCCACCTGCCCTTGCTGGCCTAAGCCTCCACTCAAGGCTACAAGGTTTCAATTACAGAAGGTAAACAAATCCAAACAGAAATGGTTGCCAGCCATGGAGCAAGCAGGAGGCTTGCTCCACTCTAGGCTACAAAGTTTTAATTGTAGAAGGTAAATAAATTCCAGATACCAGGGCCTCCACTTGGGTCACCAGGGGGCATAGCTGGCCTGCAATCTACCACAGGCTCCTGGCTCAGAATGCCCCACACCCCAAGGCAACCATGACCCTGATCTGAGACACCCTTCAGGGAAAACCAGCTGGCCCCTATCCATGCACCAGGTCTCTCCTATCTAAGAAAAGAGTAATATACAGATTGACCATCACTCCAACACACAATAGCTGTCCCCATGTGGTCAAAGATTGCTGCCCCCATGTGGACACAAGATGGCTAGCAGGGGAGGGCAGTTGGGGGGCACCAGGCCTACAAGGAAGGGCAGCTGGAGGCAATCAACCCTGCAGGGGAGGGCAGTTAGGGGTGACCAGGTCGGCAGAGGAGGGAAATTGGGGACAAAGAGGCTGGCAAGGGAGCAGTTAGACATCAATCAGGCTGGCATGGGAGTGGTTAGGGCACATGTGTCAAACACAAGGCCCGCGGGCCAAATCCGTCCCGCCAGGCCTTGCAATGTGGCCCACACCGCGCTGTCATCACTGCACTCCGCTGCGTTTCCATCACAATGACAGTTTATGACTGTTCAGTAAACCATTCGGCCCGCGATTTAGGCTGGATTTTAGATTTTGGCCCCTTCTCTGATTGAGTTCGACACCCCTAGGTTAGGGGATGATCAGGCTGGCAGGCAGAAGAGGTTAGGGGCAATCAGGAAGGCAGGCAGGCAAGCAGTTAGGAGCCAGTAGTCCTGGATTGTGAGAGGGATGTCCCACTGCCGGTTTATGCCCACCGTCAGACATTCCTCGAGGGCAGTCAGACATCCCCCGAGGGGTCCCAGATTAGAGAGAGTGCAGGCTGGGCTGAGGGACACCCCTCCTCCCCTCCCCGCCCCCTACATGAATTTCATGCACCAGGCCTCTAGTTTCACTATAAAGTCATATCTTACTTGATTTTCTACATTTCTCTTTCTTCTTCACACTTTTATTTCTGCTATATCCTATTAGCTGTGGTTTTGATTTTGACTCTCTTAACCAGCTAATGTCAGTCTTGCCGTCATCACAACTGTATTCTGTGTCAGTATCACTAAAGAGGTTTTTATTTTTATGTCTTCTTACAACCTATTAAAAAAAAGAATACTTGTAATAGATGAAGAAATGTGCTTTATATGTCATCCTAAGTAAGTTAAGCCAAAAAAAACAAACAAAAAACCCCCCCAAAAACCACAAGCAAAACAAAAAAACTAATAATTTTAGCAAACTAATCTATCTGGCATTAAGGACCTATCTAAGAAGTCACGTGGAAATCCATATCAGAGAATTGTATTTTGTTTTCTGTGTTGTGTTAATTAAAAGCTAAATCACATCAGCTTGCTTCCTTAGATACATAATCTATTACCATTAAAGAAAGGAACTAAAGTTGTCACGTCTATTACTAGATGATCACAGTAGTTCATAGACCATTAAGAAAAGTCAAATTGGGAACATGGATAAGCTCTGAGGGAAAAAAATGATCTAATCATTTATGTTTTCCAGTTCTGTGACAATTTTTGGAAAATTTTTAAAAGAAATACTAGTTTTAATATCAGGATATTATAACTTACTTTTTTATCTTTGGTTTTGAGAGAAGGTTCAAATTCATCATGATTCCTTAAACCAACACTTAAACAAAAATATACATTAATTTTAATTAATCTTAAATATTTTTTTTCCTAAGATAGCATTCACTGAACAGTTAGCCTTACTTTTTACTAATCTAAATATATAAAACCCTAATGCAAATAGATCAAATGTTGTGATGTGCACTGACCACCAGGGGGCACATGTGGAACATGGTGGGCATAGGCAGCAGGCAGCAGAGCATGGAACATGGTGGAGCGTTGGCCGTGGCAGGATGGTGGAACAGGTGAACAGGGGCACCAGACCAAGGTGGAGTGCCAGTCGCTGTCATCGGGGCAAGCCTCTGGTGGTTACTAAAAATTCTTTGCTCCCATGTGCTATGATCCCAGCTGGCGCTCGCACCTGCTGCCAGCTCCAATCATCTGAGGGCTTCTTTACCTTCCCCTGCTCCTGAGGGGCAATTGAGGCAACAGCTGCCACTCGCCCCCACTGACAGTGCTGGCCCCACTTGCACTGCTGCTGGCTCTGGCCCCAATTGCTCTACACCATCAGAGCAATTGGGAACAGCAGTGGAGGCGGGAGCAGGGGGGAGACAAGGGGCTGCGGTGGGAAGTGCCAGGCAGGGGCACAGAGGATGGGCTGAGACCCGCGCCTGTTCCCACTGCTGCCTAGTGGTCCACAGTTCATGTCAAGGTGCATGAATTTGTGCACTGGGCCCCTAGTTCACTTATATAATTCTAACCAAGTGACTTTTCCTCTCTAACTTCACTTTATTATAAAATTACAAGATTAGATGAAAGTACTACTAAGTCCTTTCAGTTTTATCACGTAAGATGTACAACTAATATTAAAAGTGCACAGAATCTGGCCCTAGCTGGTTTGGTTCAGTGGATAGAGTGTTGGCCTAAGGACTGAAGGGTCCCGGGTTCAATTCCAGTCCAAGGCACATTACTAGAAGGGTTTCAGGCTTGATCCCCAGTAGGGGATGTGTAGGAGGCAGCTGATCAATGATTCTCTCTCATCACTGATGTTTCTATCTCTCTCGCCTTCTTCCTTCTTCTCTGAATAAAAAAATATATAAAAAAGTAAACAGAATTGGCATTATTAATTTTAGAAGTATAGTTGACTGTTAAAAAACATAGGATTTGGCCGAAACCGGTTTGGCTCAGTGGTAGAGCGTCGGTCTGTGGACTGAAAGGTCCCGGGTTCGTTTCCAGTCAAGGGCATGTTCATTGGCTGCAGGCACATCCCCGGGTAGGAATGTGCAGGAGGCAGCTGGTCGATGTTTCTCTCTCATTGACGTTTCTGGCTCTCTATCTCCCTCCCTTCCTCTCTGTAAAAAATCAATAAAATATATTTAAAAAAACAAAAACAAAAACAAACAACAACAAAAACATAGGATTTGAACTGTGCAGATTTCCTTATACAGAGATTATTTTTTCAATAACTACTGCAAATGTATTTTCCCTTCCTTATGATTTTCTTTACATTTTTTCTCTAGCTTACTTTACTGTAATAATACTGTATATAATATATACAACATACACAGTATGTGCTATCAACTGTTTATGTTATTGGCAAGGCTTCTGGGTCCACAGTAGGGTATTTGTAATTAAGCTTTGGGGGAGTAAAAAGCTATACTCAAATTTTTAACTACATAGGGGGTTGATGCTCCTAACTTCTGTGTTGTTCAAGGGTCAACTATAAATGCTGAAATTATATATATAAAAATCTAAGTGACCAGCCCTAACTGGTTTGGCTCAGTGGATAGAGCATTGGCCTGCAGACTCAAGGGTCCCAGGTTCGATTCCAGTCAAGGGCATGTATCTTGGTTGCGGGCACATAACCAGTGGGGAGTGTGCAGGAAGCAGCTGATCAATGTTTCTCTCTCATCGATGTTTCCAGCTCTCTATCTCTCTCTGTAAAAAATTGATAAAATATATTTAAAAATAAACAAACAAAATAACTAAGTGATCAGACAACCAGACGACTGGCCAGTACCTGTGATGCTCACTAACCACCAGAGGGCAGATGCTCAATGCAGGAGCTGCCCTGTGGTAGTCAGTGTGCTCCTAGAGTAGGAACTCTGCTTAGCTGATAGATGGATGCCAGACTCCAGGCTCATAGCTGGTGAGTGCAGCTGAGGTAGCTCAAGCCTCTCTCATGGACACTCCCCCTGCACGCCCTGGAGGCAGGCAAAGCAGGCTGAGATGAGCAGGAGTGGCACCCAGCCCAGCTCAGGCTCCTCCCTGGCTGCCTGCCACTTTGTGCTAAGCGAAATCTATGCAGACAACAGGCTGGAGCCTGATGATCTGGAGGGTAAGGTTGGGCTGCAGTGGCGAGAAGGTCCACTGATCCGTGCAGGCCAGGTGGAGGGACCCTACTGGTGCACAAATCCTTGCACCGAACCTCTAGTAGTATAATAATGGGAGTAATCATGACAGTAGCTTTTTATTCACTCTTTTCATGTATTAAAAATTCTCAGATAAACTGGAAGGAAATATTTAAGAAAAAGAACAATTGAGACAAGTGTATTATAATCTGATTCAATTATTAATAATAAAGCACTTACAATTTTATTGAATTATCCATACAGGCTTCTCTAGCTGTAGCTTGAAATTCCTGGATCTATATTGTGAGTAAGCATTAATTTTTTTTTTCTTAGTGTCAAAATAAGGTAAACAAAAATTAAAAGAAATAAACACAAAATCTAGTTTCTATCACTTCATATAATCTTAAGATGTGACAATAAAATTCAGTTTAGAAAGCTAGAACTGTAAAATATACTAAAAATAAAATAAAGAGTAACTGTTTTAAATTTTCAAGCCAATTTTAAATATTTTAAATTATTGGATCTATAAGAAAAGTGATTTTCTTGATGAAATAGTCTGAGTTCCTCCATGTCCCAATTACTCATTTTTCTCTACTTCAGTGTGAAGGACTTGAAAGGATACTAAAATATAACTAGGTAAATACTAAACAAATATTAAAATATTTAAAAATGTTTGAAAAGAGACTTCAGGTAGTGAGCACACATGGAGTATATAGATGTTATATTACAAAGTTTTACACTTAAATTCATATGTTATTAACCAATGTTACTCCAATAAATTTAATAAAAATAAACAGAATATATATTTTAAAATATTTAAAGCACATTCATTTGAGGATGGAAATAAAATATACATGCTAATAACTGCATGATAGTTACAAAATAAATACTGAATAAATACAAAATAACTACAGATTTCTAGCTTACCCCAAGTTTTATAATAGGCTCATCAGCTCCATTCAAATTAAAATTGTAAACATCATTCCTGTAAAAATGAAGAGAAATATTAACTCCATTATATAATAAACTTGTTTTCTTCAAATATAAATTATAAAATTTATGAAAAATTACTTACAATGAATGTTCAGAAGTAACATTAACAAAAGTAGTCTTCAATTGTCTATAACTTTTTTTCTGACCCTTTTCCTAAATACAAAAGGTTACATAAAACTATTCAAATTTGTACATTATTATACTTGGAAAATAAATAACATACACAATTAAATTTTCATATACTTTAAGTTGTTTTTCCACTAATATTTTACATTTGTAACAGTTTCTTTAATGTGAATTAAATAAAAGCATTAAATATCCATACTTAAAAATACTGAAGACTGCCCAACCGGCGTAGCTCAGTGTTTGAACATTGACCTATAAACCAGGAGGTCATGGTTTGATTCCCAGTCAGCGCATATGCCTGAGTTGCAGGCTCAATTCCCAGTAGGGGGTGTGCAGGAGGCAGCCAATCAATGATTCTCTCTCATCATTGATGTTTCTCTCTTTCTTTCCCTCGTCCTTTCTCTCTGAAATCAATAAAAATATATTTTAAAAATATTGAAGACTTCAGTATTAACTAAAAACATAATAAACAGTATTAAAAATCAAATACAAAATGTAAGATCTTATTGAACATAGGTAAAATGACCTGATATTCTACAAGCAGAATTTTAGTGATTCTAGAATCACACATACACACATAAAGCACTTTTTAAATACTCATTTGCTTTAAATTCTTAAATAGAGAATCTTTGAAATAGGCTAAGGTTTATGTAAACCATCAAGTGAAAGGCTCAGAATTTTGTCAATTAACTAGGGCTCTTAGGAAAAAATATGAGTGAAATTATTCCTATAGACAATTGTTGAAAATATATTCAACCTGATCAAAAAGTATTGAGGGCAAAAAAGTTGCTAAATAAAATTCCATAAGACAAGAAAGCAGCCCTAGGCCGTTTGGTTCAATGGATAGAGTCAGCTTTTGGACTTGAAGGGACCCCGGTTCAATTCTGGCCAAGGGCACATGCCCAGGTGGCAGGCTGGGCTCCCAGTGTGGGGCATGTAGGAGGCAGCCCATCAATGATTTCTCTCATCATTGATGTTTCTATCTTTTTTTCCCTCTCCTCTCCACTCTGAAATCAATAAAAATATATTAAAAAAAAAAAAAAGACAAGGAAGCAGCAATTTCCATAAGAGAAGGAAATTGGAAGTAGTCAAAAAAAAGTCTATATTTACAAAATAAAGAAGAAAACCCAGAAGGAATAGGAGGACAAAGAGGGAGGAGGGCCTCAGGAGTAACTATAGTAACCAATTCGAAAGGGAATATTGACCAATCAGAGGGGATATCAGGACACAGGAACTATGACCTTATAAACTATGGAAACAGGAAGTAGGTGGGAACCTTTCCCCCACCCCATGTGGGAGTCTGTACTTGTTCCTTAATAATTTTCTACCTTTGCTATAAAAAAAGTAAATAAAATTTTAATAAAATTATTGTTCTAATAAAATATTTAACTATAATTAGGTAAATAAATAATGTCACTAAATTATTACTAATCTGAAATAATCAGATTCTAAGTTAATATTTAGTAAATTAGAAATATTAAAATGAAAATATTCATTTTAGTTGTAATTCATCTTCAATTTTATTATTTCTTTTAGCTGCTTTATATAGATTTGCATTATTCCAAAAATTTTCTCTCTCAATTTGGTGTCCCTCAAAAAAATATATGCACACTTTAACAGTTGATAGCTCAATTTTGAAAATGAAATGTATTTTAGTAAACATTGTCTTTAGAATTATTCAAAGTATGTGAATATATTTTTTGAGATATTATTTCTTTAACTGATTTATCCTTTCCAATATGATTTTTACTATTGTTCAGTTACACTTGTTCATTTCATCTTTTGCATGCTAATGTAAAATGCTAGGTATTACAGAAAATACAAAAATTAGCAAAGGTGTTTTATAGGATACGAAGATGATGCTGAAACAGTTACACTCTGGTAAAAGACAGAAGTGATACAAAAAATCTGCAATAGTGAAGAAGTCATCAAAAAGTACCAAAATAATTGTGCACATTCAGAATTCTTGTGCATTTGGATTCTGAGTCAGGACATCTTGGAAATTTTTTGTAAAGAAGGCAGAATCTAAAGTAAGTCCTACAAGGAAGAATAAAGTTTTGACAATCAGAAAAGAAGGTGGGAGCCTGCTGAGTCAGTTCCAAGTTCTTTCCAAGGGTGGAAGAAAAAGAGAACAAACACTTCAGGGAATCTCAAGTTACACAAAACTTGCCTAAGAAACAGGACTGACTTTGAAAGAGACTAGGGAGCCAGCTTAAGTCTCCATACTTACTTCTATAAGCAACAGGGATCCAAGAAAGGTTCTGAACAAGAGAATGACAATGACAGGATTGAAGTTGTGTGATTTAGAGAGAAAACAGCTAGTAATGAATGGATTAGCACAAAGAAATACTAGCAGCATTAGTGTTACATCAAGGCTATTGTAGTAATCCAGGGATTAGAAATTTAGAAATAAAACTGATAGATCCTCCCCTCCCCCAACTGATGGATGGAGAATGACACTCCAGCTGCAGCAAGGACATTCCTGCGCACCTAATAAGGCACGTTATATGGACTATACATTGAACCACCAATCAGCACCTGCCAAATGCCCTAAGCCCCCGATTCCCAAGTTCCTAACTATGTGCCTTATATGAGACCACCAATCAGCGAGTGCTGAGTGCCCTAAGCCCTGTCCCTTCTTCCCCTTAAAAGTAGCCTTCACCTCAGCACTCGCTCTCTTTCCCCTCTGGAAGGCAGCCGGCAGGGTCTTCTCTTCCAATAAAGACTGTGTCCTGGTAGCCTGGTCTCCGGCCCTTTGTTTCATCTTTCAAAAACTAGAAAAATAGCAGCTGGAATAGGAAAGAGAGGGAAGATTCAAGAGGAATTTACAAAATGTAAACCTCAAAATTTGAAATTAAGTTGAGAAAGTAATTGTGAGGAAATAAAAGATAATTGATATTTTAAGCTTGAGTGATGTGGACAAAGAGGCCACATGCTGACCTGGAGGCCTGCATGACAAGTCTTGCAAACTCAGAGACCTGAAGTAACCACAAAGGTGGAAATTGGTTTGGCTCAGTGGATAGAGCCTCGACCTGCAGACTGAAGGTTCCAGGTTCAATTCCAGTCAGGGGCATATGACTTTGTTGTGGGCACATTCCTGGTAAGGGATGCGCAGGAGGCAGTTTGGTTGATGTTTCTCTCTCATCGATGTTTCTAGCTCTCTGTCCCTCTCACTTCCTCTCTGTAAAAAAATCAATAAAATATATTTTTTAAAATAATAAAGTAACTACAAAGGATGATCTGAAATTAAACTAAACGCAGTTATGGTGGGCAGTTACATCCTAGGCCAGTATCTTCCCTGACAAAGATCAACTTAGATCTTTACTGAGCCCATTTGCCTTTTGCCTCTAAGATAATATCTGTGAGATGCCTGGGTAACTTGTAACTTCCCTTTATCTGGAGCCGCTGGGGCACAAGATGTGCTGGGCACCAGGACAGATACCACAAATTCCTTCTTTATCATGTTAATTGTTCCTGCACTCACCTAACTATGTGTCCATCATTTTACGTTTTATCCAATCCCAGAAGTTTTCCCAGCTTTGCTTTATCCCACTCCTTAATCCATCACCAATGAATTTCATGTAAACCACCTATGTCCCTCCTTTGATGGCAATGTAAAAAACAAATGTAACCTGTCATTCTCCTTACCATTATCTCAACTCATTGAGGTTTTTGTTTTTTGTGGGTTTTTTTTTAGTTAAAAACATCAATGAGAGAGAAACATCCATCAGCTGCCTCCTGTACACCCCCCTACTGGGGATGTGCCCACAACCAAGGTACCTGCCCTTGACTGGAATCAAACCCAGGACCCTTGAGTCCACAGGCCAACACTCTTATTCACTGAGCCAAACCGGTCAGGACTCATTGAGGTTTTGCTTCTCAGCATATAAACTCACAAAAATTCTTTACAGGTTTCAATGTTTTGTGGTGAGAGGACAGGGCAGGGCGAGGCTAACTCCTGACTAGAACCCTGCCTCCTTGTGGGGCAGGGCAGAGGAGCTATCCTCCATTTTGGGGGATCCTAGCCCTCTCCCAACCAATCAGGGTCAGCCAAAGCAGTGACATCACCACCGGAGTAAAACCCCTGGACTTGTCGAAGTTCGTGCTCTTGTCTGCCATGCTGTCAGCGTGAGTGGGACAGAGCCCATGTTAACATGGAAGAGGCTTTCTTGTTAATTGCATCAGACTTGGCTCCCTGCCAGTCTTTGGGGATTACGGAATCTTGCTACAACAGTTTGTTTTTTTACGTTAACAGTGAATAATAAGTATTAACGAAAATAGGGGTTTAAAAAGGTTTTACTTATCAGGGAAGATAGTGTTAGGCAGACATGAATAGAGCAAGGATGATGGGCTAGGTATAGAAACTCACCAGGCCGAAAGCCCAGATGTCTACCAGGGGCAAAACTGGGAAACCAAGAACCTTGTCCCCAGGGTAACCTATGCTCCCTTAGCATATCACCAGGTATATAGTTTAGAACCCCTGACCTTTGCCTCTCTAAAGATAACATCCAGGCCTCAGTCATTTCAGCTCCAGGCCCAGAAAAGGAGCAAACAAGACAAGTGGTGCTGCCATGTCTGCCCCTGGACTTGTTACATTGAATAATGATCCCCTGCCCTGGCACCGACCAATCAGTGGAGAACACAGCCCAGAAAGAGCACATCTAGAAAACTGATGAATATTCTGAAATATAGTGGCAACCATAGTTTGGTAAAAACTGCTCTTTGAATTTTAACCCTGCTAAGTCTGGCTCCTGCCTGATTAAACACGGAATACTTACCTCAGCTTCCAGGTGGAGACTTGGAAGCTAAGGCAATTTTCCCTTGCCTGGGACCTGGACCACAGGAGATTGATTCCCACTGACTCAGTAGCTTCAGGGATAGAAACTGTAGATAACCTTTAGAGTCTAACCACTGAGCTCTGCTTCTGTGTTATCACTATCGCAAGATAGGGCCACATTCCAATGTCCAGCAGGATGTGACTGGGAACCAACCCTGCAGGCTATCCCCAGTCTTTAGAATTTAGTCTT